CAAATGGTTTTTGACTATCATTGTTGAGACTCCTGATAAGTTCCATCAGTGGGGAATGATGGTCTTATAATACTAAAAAAAGAAAAAAAAATGTTATTATGGTTGTTGTTCACTCACCTACACTATCAAGAAAGTGAATCTACTTTCTTTCTGATGGTGGCCAGAGTTATAGATAGTAAAATTCATGGTGACTAAGAGCAGTTAATCACTCCAACATTTACTGAGTTATGTTCTGACAATGCAAGAGAAAGGAAAGAAATTAGATATACTTGGGCAAAAACCTGATAAAATTATTAAAGCTACCTCATCCAATTACAATATTAGAGATCTATGCTAGTGTTGCTAGATTTGAAGGCTAGGAAGTCATTGTCACTCAAGAACTAACCTCATTCTCAGGGCGCCTGGGTGGCTCAGTCAGTTAAGTGTCCGATTTCGGCTGAGGTCATGATCTCGTGGTATATGAGTTCAAGCCCCACATAGGGCTCTGTGCTGACAGCTCAGAGCCTGGAGCCTGCTTCAGATTCTATGTCTCCCTCTCTCCCTCTCTTCCCCTCCCCTGCTCATGCTCTGTCTTTCTTTGTCTCTCAACAATAAATAAATCTTAAAAAAAAATTAAAAAAAAAAAAAGAACTAACTTCATTCTCTAAGTACAGTTGGTCAATGACCACTCTGGCTAATGGCATGCACATGAAGAATGGGAATGTGAAAACCTCTTGGGGCTTATTGCAGTAGGTCTTTACAGCCATAATAAAACTGGCCTATCCATAATGAATCTCCATTCTCCAATAAATACCTTGAAATCCAGTGGGTCAAGCTACCTCTTCCCTTAGGTGCACTGTGACTCTGTCCTAGATTTTTAATAAAGACTAAGTGCTCAGATGATGAAATAGTCATCCAAATCAGTTCACTTAAAACCATTCTAGTGCAACCAGCCTATCAGAGACAACTCATTTTCCTCTTGTGTCTAGGAATAGTCTCTGGAAACTATTCATGAACTGGGCAATAAGGTCTCCAGAATGGATGCATTGGCAAAGTCCAAACAAAATTCCATGCAAGTCAAGGGCCAGAAGATAAATAAATCAACCAATAATTGAAGTCTGAGCCATAGGTTCATGTAGATCTGGATATTAAACCAGAGAGAATCTAATAAGAACATTAATAGTCTGCCCTTGGGAGAAATTCTCACTACTGACCTAAAGAAGACCCATGGTACTTAAATACTTGGGCCATGACAATGGACTGTTCCTGGCCACTCTTGTGCTTTACTGTGGACAAGTAAAAGGAAGACAAGAGGGCCTCAATTCCTTATCTGACATAATGCATTTGGATTAGCATTGACCCAACACCTTTGGCACCTTCCTTCAAAAATAAACAGAGCAAGGATATAGGGTTTCATCCAAATAGAATGAAAGCTATATATGTTGGTTAAGGTGTGGCAGTGAACTGATGATAGTTGGCCTGCCCTTTCCTCTCTCCTAAGCGTTGCAGCACAGTCCATTATGGTACTGAGAAATGGATACATGCACTCCAATGATTTCACTCACATGTCGAACTTAAAAAATAAAGTAGATAAACATAGAGGGGAAAGAAGAAAGAGGCAAATCCATTAACAGACTCTTAACTATAGAGAACAAACTAAGGATTGCTGGAGGGGAGGAGGGTGGGGGATGGGTTAAATGGGTGATGACTATTAAGGTGGGCACTTGTGATGACTCCTGGGCCTTATATGTAAGTGACGAATCACTACATTCTACTACTGAAGCATGTTAACTAATGGGAGTTTACATAAAAATTTGGAGAGGAAAAAAAAAATTTCACACACTTTTAAAAATATATTACCATAGACTTACGAAATTTTAGAATTATTACTACTTTATTTTTCTAATAAAAGAATACACATTTGACCAGATAAATTAATAGACATATACAGAGCATTCCATCCAGAAGCAGCAAGAATACACATTTTTCTCAAGTGCACATGGAACATTCTCCATTTTAGATCATGTGTTGGCCACAAAAGAAGTCTCAGTACTTTTAAGAAGACTAAAATCATATCAAACATCTTTTCTGACAAAGGTATGAAACAAGAGATCAATTACAAAAAGAAAACTAGAAAAATTAAAAATTCAGTATATGGTGGTAAAATAGTATGATAGTGAATAACAAATAAGTCAATAAAGAAATTTTTTAAAACTCAAAATATACCTTGAGATGAATGAAATTTAAATGCAACATAAAAAAAAAATCTATGGGATGCAGTAAAAGCATTTCCAAGTGGAAAGTACATAGCAATATAGGCCTACCTCAAACAACAAAAAAATTTTAAACAATTTAATTTTATACCTATAGGAACTAGAAAAAGAAGAACAAAGTTAGTAGAAAAAAGAAAATAACAAAAATCAGATGTTAGTAAATTAAATGGAGACTGAAATCCCAATCTAAAAGATCAATGAAACCAAGAGTCAATTCTTTTAAAAGATTAAAAATATTGACAAAGTTTTAGCTAGACTCACCAAGAAACAGAAAAAGAAGTTTCATAATAAAATCAGAAATGGAAGAGGAGAGGTTACAACTGATACCATGAAGTACAAAGGTTCATAAGAGACTACTATGAAAAATTATATGCCCATAATTGAACAACTTAGTAGAAATGGATAACTTCCTAGAAATACATATACCAAAACTGAATCATTAAGAAACAGAAAATATGAATAGATTGACTACTAGTAAGGAGATAGAGTCAGTAATCAAAAAACTCCAAAGAATCGTAAGACCAAGTCCAGTTGGCTTCACTGGTGAATTCTTCCAAATGTTCACAAAAAATTTAACTAAATGTTACCCTCCTAAACTCTTCCTGAAAACTGAAGAGGAGTGATCACTTTCAAACTTAGTTGATAAGGCCTGAGTGCAAATTATTCAGATGCTTTTTAAGTATATATCCATTACACACTTTGTTCATCTTTCATGCATATATTTCATGTGTATTGTATTTCACTATTATATATCACATAAATATTTATCATTAAAGTGGGCAGAAAACTTCCTTTAAGGAGAACTAAAAAATACTAATGTGTATTTTAAGAAAGAGAATATAATTTAAATAAAATTCTTCACAGTGAAACTTTGACATGCAAAAAACCCTAACAACCAAAAGAAATGATAGGTAAAATAAAGTAAATATTTTCAGAATAAAAGTTATAAGGAATTTTCTAATGTAAAGCACAGAGGTGACAGAAATGCAATATTTATAAAAATGTTATGTAAGTTAATTGGGTTGTAAATTGTAAACCCCATTATTCTGAAAGTGGCCTAGATATGGTTAAAACTTAAATATGTATATCAAAAATGCAAGAATAATCAGTAAAGGAAAATAAAAAGTATATATCCACTAAATTGCTTAAATAGAGGAAGAAAGAAAAACAAAACACACAGATCAAAAGAAATGAACAAAAATTCAATTAAAAAACAAATGTGGCAAAATGAACATAAAAATATGGAAATTTGGGGCAACTAAAGTTATAAAAAATATGCAGTACGGAGGACTGTAAGGAGTCATAACACCTAAATGTAATGAGGTATACTAGAGAAGATCCTGGCACAGAAAGACGCTATTCACTATAAAGAAAAGAAAGCTGGGGATGCCTAGGTGGCTCAATTGGTTAAGCATCTGACTTGATTTTGGCTCAGGTCATGATCTCATGGTTCGTGAGTTTGAGTCAGGCTCCATACTGACAGGTGCAGAGCCTGCTTAGGATCTCTCTCTCCTTCTCTCTCTTCCCCTCCCTCTATAAATAAATAAATAAACCAACAAACAAACTTGAACATAAAAAAAGAAAGAAATCTGAATAAATTATAGACTTTAGTTAATTAAAAATATGCAAAAATTAATCACAAAAATGTTTAAGAGGATAATCTGATAAATAAAAGATAGATAGGATAATAAATTAAAACCCAATGTAGATCTTGAACTTAACAGTACAGGAAAAGTAAATGAGAATACAGAAATATCATAGAAATGCTAATTAAGGGAAACTAGTGTGTGCATAGATATATAGATATGTCAGACTAAATAGACTTTAAAACAGAAAGCAACACTGGAATAAAGAGATTCAGTATTTGAAAATAAAAGTTACATTTCCAGGAAGATATAACAATCTCCACCATAATTCTCTACCATATCAAAAAGCTTCAAAACACAGAAAGCATAAATTGAATAGCCTATAGTAAGAATTAGGCAAATCCAACTGCATAGTTGAAAACATAAATATTATCTCTCAAGTGCCAAGAGTTCAGGTAAATAAGATTCATACAGAAGATTTGAAGCAATCACTTAAAAATTATGATGTAATCAAGTTATATAGAATTTAGTTTCTAACAATTCAAGAGTTTACATTTTCTCAACCAAATATGGGACATTCCAAAAAATCAACATGCAATATAAAGACAGGCATAATAAAATGCAGATTCGCTATCTTACCAAGAACTGAAAGAAAAAAAAAAGGTAATGGCAAATACTTAAATATAACAGTAACAAACCAAGGATTATTAACCCAATTCTGTGAAGTTAAGTTAAATAAAGTTACCCCAGATGCAAGGACAGAAATCAGGAGATGAGGAGGTAAACAACAACATACATGTAAGAACTTAATGAACCAATACAGTCTCTCTGGAGGAATTCAGGACATGATTGAGGTAATGATTATAGTATAGATGTTAATAATGTTTATGATACAGAAAGGTGGGTATTGCTACTAATGGTTACATAATAAAGAAAATCTACCTCTTTAATCCATGCTACACTTACCCCTCACTTAAACTCTTCAAATGCTTCAAATTCAGGATGTCAGTTATCAAAAGCCCCATACCTCCGTATCTTAGATGTTTAATAAAATGGTTCAGCATTTCAAAGAAAGTCCTCCTATATCCCATCTATATTTATAAAACTACATGAGAAACACAAAAACAAATCTTTAGATAAATTATTAATGTTTGTCACTAACCTCTGGAAGACCACAATCACACTGTTCTGGTGGTTCCACAATTTTATTACCACAAATTGCAGTTCTTCCTTGGCGAACCACTTCTGAAACTGTTTTATTCTGAAGACATTCAAATTCAGGCTGTGAAACCTTGTGCTTAAATTCATCCATGCTGCAACTGCTAAAATACTTTACACCATGGGAATGTCTAAAAATAAATCATATTCTTCAGATAAATGGAATAAAATCAGTATCAAAGTAACACTCTATGAATTACTGAAAAGTACTATAAATTCTGTAATATTTCACTTACCAAAGAGCCAAGAAGGAAGGAAGTGTTTTTATTGTTAATACAAGTTATAAATAACAGCAATAAGTTTATTTCTATGGTAACTCAATATAATAGAACATGTAGAGGAAGTTAAGGTGACATGAGTTAGAATATATTAAAACACAATGCTTGCCACACAAAAATCTCTTTACACATATCCTATTATTACTTTCATTATGATTTCCAACATCAAAATTATAATCATTACTATAAGCACTAATTATAAGAAAATGAAACATAATAGAAAATTTATGTAGAAAACTGAAGAAATATAATTGAAAATGTTAGTGAAAAATCACAAGCATTTCTACTTTGATAACAAAATTGATCAATTAAAATATCTCAACATTGATTACAAAAAATGTATAAACCCTATATTCTTTTTATTTTGTTGCCTATGTTAATATTTCTGTGCTTCTATATGTAATATATAATGATTTTTTATTTGATTTTGTAACAACCTAAAATATAAGGAAATGACATAAAAATCATCCAAAAGAATAAATTTTTCCTGGGACAATGAGGAATAAGTTGTCAAACACAATCCTAGTAACTCTAAATATTTTAATGTACAATTCTTATATAGATATTAATTCTAAAACCTTTCAAAATCAGGAAATAATTATGCATTACTAATATCTAATCTTCAGATGTCATCCAAATTTACCCTTCATCAAAATATTGGCACTTTATAGCAAAAAGATCCAGTTGAGAGTCAATAATTACATGTATTTTTTTCAGTTTCTTAAAATTTAAAATTTTATTTAAATTCCACTTAGTTAACATGTAGTGTATTATTGGTTTCTGATATAGAATTTAATGATTCATCACTTACATGCAACACCCAGTGCTCATCACAAGTGCCCTCCATAATACCTATCACCCATTTAGCCCAAACTCCCATTCAACAACCCTCAGTTTGTTCTCTATAGTCTCTATACTTAAAAGTCTTTCTTCTGCTTTGTCTCTTTTT